ATAAAATATTTATCTACCTAAATATGTTTGGTTCTTATCATGCAAAGTGGGGTTCTAACACCCCATGAGCCATTGCTCTATATTCTGCTTCTGCTGAAGACCTTGCCACAACACCCTACATCTTACTTCTGCAAGAAACTAAATTACCAGCAACAAGGGTACAATATCCAAATGTAGACCTCCCATCATCAATGCTACCTACCCTATCAGCATATGTATATGCCTCTATCCTCCCATGTCCATGGTTAGCAAACAAAAGAGCTCTCCCTAGAGATCCCTTCAAATAACAAAATATCCTTTCAGCAGCAACATGAACTGACTAATCACATTGATTGCATAAGATATATTAGGTCGTGTCATACATAGGTAATAACAACTTTCCAACAAGCCTCTGAACTACTCCCCTATCATCCATAAGAGAGGTGCTTAGAGATACAATGTGTAGTACACTTACGTTTACATTTTCTTATGGCAATGGAAGGTGCCAGATCCATCACCTCATTAGTAATGGAAGGTACAAGAGGCCCTTGTAATGGTGGGGAAACAACCTGCCCATGTGTGTGCCGAAAATAAATCCTCACTGGTTGGGTGGTAGACAAAAAGGGAACATCAGGGAGAGAAGGGGAGTGTCAAAGGAAGGAATTGGAGCCCAAAAAGAAGAAGGAATTGGAGAACTAGGAATAAGGGGTGATTCACTGGAGATGTCACAAGGGATATGAGCTGGAAGAGTAATATCAAAAAGAGGAAACTTCTCCCCCTAAGTAGGAATTGGATAAAAAGGAATTAACTCAGCAAATGTGACACCCATGCAAACAAACCAAGTGAAACTACGAGGATCATAACAATAATAATCCTTCTATGTGGAGGCATACCCGAGGAAGATACATTTCCTGGCCTTAGGTTCAAATTTGTCTCTGTGAACTAGGAATATGCACATAACAGTACAACCAAAAACTAAGAGATAGACAATATGTCTCCATCAGGAAAAAGAAGATTAAAAGGAGATTTGAACCCAATAACTTGACGCACAAGGCAAGGCGCGTGCCTTTTTGAGGCAAGGTGCAAAAATACAAAAAATGCCAAAAACTAAAAAATGCCAAAAAAGTAAAAAATGCAAAAATTAAAACATAATAATAATAATATAAATAAAAAATAAATTTTAATTTCAAAATAAATGTTTTAAAAAAACCTATTATCAAAAATTAAAATGCATAAACATAACATGTAAAGCTTATTCAAATGAAAATTAAAAAAAAAAATCAAACATTTAAAAAAGTTTCAAGCATGTAAAACCCACAATTTCTTTTTTCCTTAATTTGCTAATGCGATGTAAATTCTTGCATTCTTGATTCTACAAGCTGCCTCTATACCAAGATCCTCAAGGCAAGCCCAAACAAATCCATGTTAGGGTCTTAAATTCTTAATCCTTACACAAAAGTTTAAATGATTTTACAATTTTAATTGTCTTTTAAGAAGATATTTTACATTGTTAATTCTTCAGGGGCTTGGTCGGGGGTTTGGGGTCCGAGAGCGAAGCCCCCCATCCAACCGTTAGGTTCAAAAAAGGACAAAAGGCACAAAAAATTCTTAATCCTTACACAAAAGTTTAAATGATTTTACAATGTTAGTTGTCTTTTAAGAAGATATTTTACATTGTTAATTCTTCAAGGGCTTGGTCGGGGGTTTGGGGTCCGAGAGCGAAGCCCCCCATCCAACCGTTAGGTTCAAAAAAGGACAAAAGGCGCAAAAAATTAAAAAGGCGTACAGCTAAAGTGCAAGGCGCACCAAGTGCATGCCTAGGCGCACTAGGCATGTGCCTTTTGAAGTGATGCGCCTAGGACCAAGGCGAGTGCGTAGGCACACCTTTTAAATCATTGCAAATCATTAATCAAATAAGTTGTAAGAACATCTCCCCAGTATTTTATAGGAACATGGGAAGCAAACAAAATGCTTCTAGCAATTTCAACATGTCAATTTTTACGTTTCAGCTACCTCGTTTTGTTGAGGGGTGCAAGGACAAGAGCTTTGATGAATAACTCCAAAGTAGTCAAGAGAAGCAGAAAGACACTTCTCAAATTACAACTTAGCATTATCGGATCAGAATAACGTGATACAGATTTAAAATTGAGTGAGAACAAGTTCATGAAATTGTCTTATTAATTTCGGGACCTCATCACAAGAACGCATCAAGTAGATCCATGTATATCTGGAAAAATCATCAATAAACAAAATGAAGTCTTTTTAAGCCCTCATAGAAGGTAAATGGGGCAAAGACTAGAAGACTAGAAGGCCTGGCACTGTTAAACAATTCAAGAAATAAAAGGGGCAAAGAAGAAAAATATACATCTCAGGCATGTCAAGCATGTAAATCCTGTTCACCTCATAATCACTCCCAATCACCTTCCGAGACTTTAGGTCTAGGAAAACACAATGTGTGAGAAAGAAGATTATACAATAATTCAAAGATTTCGTCAAACTACTACTAGAAAGAATGTTGGTATTAAGCTTAGGTACATGGAGGATAGTAGGTAGGGTAAGGGTCTCAGTGGCTCTAATGTCAACCTTTTTTGAAAGTAGATAGGAGTAATCCAACAAATAAATCCTATCTGGGCCAGGAAAAAGCTCATAGGAACAAAAAAGGTTAAATACGCTAGACGTTGAATTGCCTACAGAATTGAGGAGTTTCCCATACTTTTCAATTCAGGCCTCACAATGGCTAACTGCTCCACATGGACTCTCCCTCATTGGATCCCTTCTCACTATCAAGTACAACAGTTGCATTAGCATTTCCACCTTTCTGGTTATTTCTACACCTTGTTGGCATCAAATGAGGATGCAATTTCCAACATGTACCTTTAGTATGCTTAGGCTTCTTGTAGAATCACATATGACCACCTTCTCCTTATCCTAACTACCCTTCAACTTCACACCAACATTAGCAAAATGATCAATAAAAGAACTTTGAAGATGCACTTGTCTTCTACTCTCTTTACTACCCTCCAAGGAATATGCCTTAGACAATGTAACATCATCCTTGGAGAGTAAATTTTGCCTCGTAATGTCATACTCCAGGTTAAGTCCAATAAGGAACTCAAACACCCTATTTCTTTCCACCACCTTTCTTTTATGTCTCTGCATCCTTGGTGCTCTTCCACACAATGGTTTCAAGTGGATCAATCTCCTACCATAAGAATTTCAACATAGAGTAGTATACTACTAGAGGCCTCTCCCCATGTCTTAAATTATTGATTTCATTGTTTAGCTTGAATGCCCTTGCAACATTAATCTTCTAAGACTAGGGTAATTCCCATGTGTCCACTAATATGTGGTTGCACATATTCACAAGGCACCCAATAACATTGTAATATGTGGTTGCACATTCTCTGTCTTTAGTTTTCTCTTTACTACCTACTAGGTACCCCCCAGTTGCAAAGCTAAATAGTTGGTCCCATCTAGATTTATTGTCTCCATTGATCAAACAGAAATAAATGAAAGACTGAAGCTTCAACTATGATCCTCCAACACCCAAGAAGGGAAAAATCAATGAAAACAAAGTTTCACACTACCGGGCATCCTAGGAGAAACTAAAACTCAACCGCTACTACCAGTTATCATAGAAAATTTTCCAACCTAGACCTATATTACTAAGGTCCTCCAAGAAGTCTTTCACACCCAGAGCACCAATTTCGAAGGATCCCCTTCGCCCTCAACTCCAATCCTTATCTAGTCGGGTAGGGTTTTGGGCTAAAAATCTCCAAAAACCTTCCACCAACTAGGCTGAATGAATCATCAGTCAACTATCAACTTAGCCCTCCATACACATTGAATGGGATTAGAGAGAGAGAGAGAGTTAAGGTTGCTTTAATACCAAGTTGACAGTCAATGCTGGAAAAAATGTTTAATAAAAGAAAAAAGTAGAAAACAAATCATGGTTGTCTCCTTACCCCTTTCCTTTGTTTTATTAGATCAAACACAATTAAAGAGAAGATTACAAGAATGCCCCTGGTAAGTCAGCTCCTAGAGTAAACCAATAAAACAAATAACAGGGGCTTTAGGCCCATGACAACTAAAGCCCAACAATAATAAAGAAATAAAAGAAGGGCCCATAACAACTAGGCCCAGTTAGTAGAAATTTTTAGAGATCTCGGAGTTGGTCATTGAAGCCCAGAAAGAGTTATGGACCAAAATCTGGGTTGATTAGAGTAGAATCTGTTACTATTTGAAGGGTTAAAGGGACCTTTAGGGACTGGAATGGGGCTCTAGAGGAGCTCTTTTACTTATTTTAAGCATGGTTTGAGATTGGATAAACCCCTAAATTATAAAGATACAGTAGAGGAAAAGAACTTAAGGGTAATTGTGTGATGGTTTAAACATAACAAAACAGGCTCTTGGGTATATGACTGCATTATAAAAGAATTGAAATATCTGGCCACAAAGTTAAGAACTTTCAAGTGGATTCAATCATCAGAAAAAATGAATCATTTATATTTGAGGATGTCTCCCAGGATGGGAGATGGTGGAATGTAAATAAATTGGGGGGATAGTGAGAAGGATAGCAGGAGCTAACCCAAACACGGGTATTTTTAGCACACCTCTGATTGTAATTATGGGTACTGATCAGAAAAGGCAACACAATAATGCCAAACTCATGCTAAACAAGATTTCAGAATTTGTATATAATGCAGTAAAAAGGCAAACAAAAAATAGCTATAGAATATACACAGAAAATGCACATACAAGCAAAAAAATGTGAACTATAATCCCTTGTATTATTTGTGAATCTCAACCCAAGAAAATACCAAACCATTAGTTCTCTTCACGATATTCTCTCTAGCATTTAAAATAATCTGAGATACATGTACTTTCACCCTAAAGAAACCATAAAATGGGATATGCATATGTAGGGGAAAGAAAGGAGAGCATGAAATCTCTGTTTATGTAAACTTGAGCATGCTTCCTATATAGGTAATTGCTATCACAAGACAATGTAGAATCCTTACTCTATTCCAGAGAGAAATGAGCATTGGAGGACCTTCATTGCAATAGGCTTGAAAGGTAAAAGTGCTATATCAGCATCCACCCCTTGCTGCAAGTTGTATGGTCATTTTACCATTTAGTTCAACAGTTCTAAAAAATCAATAGGAAGTTTACTAATTGTCTTAATATGCATGGAAAAATATCAAATGGAAGAAGATCAGACAAAAAAATCCTTCTTATATTGGTGATACAAATTATAGAATAAGCATACCTCCAGAACAAGCAAACAGCGTTTATCAGCAGACCAACGTCGCAGCAAGTGAATGGCAGGACCTTGCCGCAGGCTCCAATGGGGTGAAAACACTATGCAAGGTTCCTTCCAAATAGCTCTATGTACAAACATTACATCTTTCATGAATGTAAATATTTAACATTTTTTTGATCGTTAACACTGATGCAGAAGATTTATTATCATTTAAAGAGAAGCATGGATAGAAGGTCTTACAATAAATTGGGTGAATGAATTGTGTGAAACAAATGAAGCTTTTTCTCTTTTATTAGCTTCACATGACCAAACAATGCCTCCCCGGAATACAGCTGGAAAATTAATTAAAGAATGTGTCATAATCATCTCTTTGTTGTGTTCTTATCAAATGTGACCCTGTAGGGGTGGATACAAACCAAGCTTCTCACAAAATATTCAAGCTCGGCTCATGAAAAGCTTGACTGGGCTTGGTTTAAAATGAGCTTAGAGCCGAATTCAAGACTAATAAAGCTCAGATTGTAAGGCTCACGAGCCTAGTTGAGCTTATATTATATATAATATTTTAATTATATATATGTTGAAGATTAATTAGTTTTATGTTGTTTTTCTGAGTAGATGTTTTATGTTAGTTGTTAGATAGGAGGTGGGGACCATAGTAGTTATGTTAGTCCAATTTTTTATTATGTTTCTGAGTGTTATATATGCTGTTTTATGTTTTGCCGCCCTATAAGGGCATAGTTGTCTTTGTACTGTTCTATTATTTTAGTATAAATAATAAGTGAAGGGGGCGGCCAGATTATTGCTCTCTTTTCTTTTCAACTTCTCTTCTGATCTTCTTCTCCTTCTCTCTTCAAGAAACTACTTTCTTTCATATTTTTTAATTCAGCAGATTCCTACTTGGTATTAGAGCATCAGCTAGGGTTTCTTGAAGCATTCTCATGCAGCCCTAGATCAGCTGACTGCATGAAGTAGTAAAGGGCTGATCGATCTGCTTAAGATTGCCCAGTTCTTGGAGTTTTTGGTGGTATCTAGACATTAGGAAGGTGATCTACTATTCAGCATCAAAATCAGGAAGAACTGGAGTACGGGGAAGAGTCCCAAAAAAGTTGAACTCTTTGTTTTTGATATGATCTTGGGCGCCCAAGTATTGTTAGTTTTCTTTTGATTTTTTGAAGAGAGCAGTTTGGTTTCTGAAATTTTCTAGGCCTCCCAGAGTGATCGATTCACTTCTCTCTCTATTGGGAGGCGTGGGGAGGAGAGAGATTTCCCTCCAGCTAGGGTTTTTCTGGAAGGGTTGGTTTTTGTGTGGGGTATTAAATTATTTTTTGAAGGTCTCCAATCTATTTTTTTCTTATTGTTGAACTGTTTGAAGTAAAATGGAGAGTTGGAATACCGAGATGAAATCTACCGGTATTGTGGGACTAGGTGTTGGAGGTAGTAGTGATATTTTTGGGCCTGGGATCATTACTACAGTAAAACTTGATGGTACAAATTATTTGGAGTGGGCACAATCAGCTAAATTGGCTATTGGTGCCCGTGGAAATTAGGGTATCTCACTAGGGAGGAGAAGAAACCTGATACAGACTCTTCCCGATGGGTGCAAGAGAATTACATGGTAATGTCCTGGCTGTGCAATTCTATGTTACCTCATTATGCAAAAAATGTCCTATTGGCTAATATTGCTAAGGAGATTTGGGATGGAGTGATTGAAACCTACTCTCAGAAGCAAAATGAAGCCAAAGCCTATCAGTTAAGAAATCAGGTGATAAGTATGAAACAGGGAGAAAAACCTCTTGCTGTGTATTTCTCCATGCTGAAAACCCTATGGCAGGAAATAGATCACTTAGAAACTGTGGTATGGGAAAGTGTAAATGATGCAGCAACTTATCACAGACTGGTAGAGAGGAATAGGGTTTTTGAGTTCTTGGCAGGGTTGAATCCTGAATTTGACATTGCTAGGCAGCATATTCTTTCAAGGGAGAGTGTGACACTCTCTCAGGCCTATGCTTTTGTCTCTGGAGAGGAGAGTAGGAGGAATGTAATGCTGAGACAGCCTGGGATTGACTAGTCGGCTATGGTTGGTACAACAAAACTTAAGCCGAATGGARAYAGGGGGAGTAGTGAGACTAGAAGGGAAGATAAGAAGAACTTGGTGTGTGATTATTGCAAGAAGCCTAAGCATACCRGGGACACTTGTTGGAAGCTTCATCCAAATCTTATGCCTGCTCGGATAAGAAACAAGAAGGGAAATGCAAATGTAGCCACTACAGGAGACTCTTTAGCCCCTCTCTCCCAAATCGATTGGAAATCCATTGCAGTAGCAGTAGTGAGAACAGAATTGGAGAGGTTTGGACAGCTTATGAGTAAGAAAGATTCACCCAGCTCTAGTCTTCCAGATGGACAATGAAATGCACCAACTACACCACTTCCTTTGCACATACATGTAGTTCATATGCAACTGTAAATCTTGCATCCACTTCAGGTAAGGAGGGACCTCCCTGGATTATAGACTTAGGAGCATCTGAGCATATAACTAATGCCCCTACCATTTTCAGTTCCTATCAGTTGTGCTCTGATAGAGATAGAGTCTCTACAGCAGATGGTTCACATATGCCCATTGCTGGGAAGGGGACAGTTAGAGTGACCAATGATATAACTCTGTCTTTTGTTTTACATGTCCCTAGATTTCATACCAACCTACTGTTTGTTAGTTCTTTGACAAAAAGTTTGAATTGTTCAGTGACCTTTCTTCCTGGTAATTGTGTTTTGTAGGATCTGGAGTCAAAGAAGATGATTGGGAGTGGTCGTGAGGTGAATGGAGTCTACCTTTTGGATGAGATTCCGAGACATCAGGGTCATCATGTTAGCAGCAGCGGTAGTAGTGGGTCAGAGTCAATGAACCAGATTATGCTTTGGCACAATCGCTTGGGACATCTTTCTTTTAGTTCTTTAAAATGTCTTTTCCCAAAGTTATTTGAGTCTGTTCAATTATCTACTTTGGAGTATGAGAGTTATCAATTAGGAAAGCATTGTAGACAGTCTTTTAAACCAAATAATAAAAGAAGTACTTTTGCTTTTAATATTGTTCACACTGATGTATGGGGACCATATTAAATCCCTTCCATAGGACGACTCCGTTACTTTTTCTTGTTTGTGGATGATTATACACGATATTCTTGGATATATTTGATGAGATCACATGATGAGGTTCCTAACTTAGTACGACAATTCCACCGGATGGTTCTCACACAATTTGGAGTGAGAACTAAGGCTTTTAGATCAGATAATGCCAAAGAGTACTTTGAGAAGGACCTAACCACGTATCTCTTAGAACATGGTGTAGTTCATCAGAGCAGTTGTGCATATACACTGCAACAGAATAGAGTTGTTGAGAGGAAAAACAGACACATTGTGGAGGTGGCAAGGAGTCTTATGGTGTGTGCTTCAGTTCATGTGCAGTTCTGGAGAGATGCAGTTCTTACAGCCGTGAAATGTGTGCATATACCCTCATATACCTCTGAGGGTTTTTGGTTGTGTTTCTTTTGTTCACATTATTGGCCCTCATCGCAAGAAATTGGATCCTAAGGCCAAGAAATGTGTTTTTCCTAGGTATGCTTAGAACCAAAAGGGGTATTGCTGTCATGGTCCAGTGTCGAGGAGCAGATTTGTCACTATGGATGTTACCTTTTTTGAATCCACATTCTTCTTCTTGAGTGGTTCTCCTCAGGGGGAGAGTTTTAGGGAGGAGAACTCACAATTTGTTCCTCTGCCTATTTCTGTGGTGCCTCCATCAGTTCAGCCACCACTTGCACCTCCAGTTTCATTACCTGAGCCACTACGGGCAACCTCACAGCAATATTAGCGCCGGCAGATGATGGTTGACTCCACACATCCTCGACCCACACCACTCTCTATCAGTCCTTCTAAAACTCCAGATTCGGCAGATATAGTTCCAGATATTCCTCTTGAGCCTGAGCATGTTATGTTTTCTGATGATAATGTTTTTGTCCCTAACACCATTGTTGCATCTGATCCCACTAACCTTGATCTTCCCATTGCACTTCGTAAGGGGAAGAGAAGGTGTTCTTTCTTCCCTACAGTGCCTTATCACCCTCCTACCGTGTTCTTTCTTCCCTACAGTGCCTTATCACCCTCCTACCGTGTTCTTTCTTCCTTGGATTTTGTGTCTATACCCAGGAACGTTACTGAGGCTCTCTCCAAACCCGAGTGGAAAACAACCATGCAAGATGAGATGGATGCTTTGGTCAAAAACCAAACATGGAAAATAGTTGATCTCCCCCCAGACAAGGAGACAGCCGGATGTCGATGGGTATTCACAGTGAAGCATAAGGCCAATGGCAAGATAGAGAGGTACAAGGCAAGGTTGGTAGCAAAAGGGTATACTTAGACCTATGGTGTTCAGTTCGTATCCTTTTATCTCTAGCAGCCACCTATTCATGGCCCTTGTTCCAGCTTGATGTCAGAAATGCTTTCCTCAATGGTGACTTACAAGAGGAGGTATATATGAACATTGCAGCAGGCTTTTATGAAAATGTTGGTAAAGGAAAGGTGTGCAGACTCAGAAAATCTCTGTATGGACTAAAACAGTCACCTAGGGCTTGGTTTGACAAGTTCAGAGGGGCACCCATCCGCTTTGGATACACACAGACATAGTCTAATCACACCCTCTTTGTAAATAGGAGAGATGCTTTGGAGTCAATTCTAATTGTGTATGTGGATGATATAGTGGTGACAAAAAATGATCTGGAAGAGATTGATGATCTCAAAAAATCATTGTAGCAAGAATTTGAGATCAAAGATCTTGGTGAACTCAAATACTTCTTAGGGATTGAAGTTGCAAGATTCAAGCATGGGATCTTCATTTCATAGAAAAAGTATGTACTTGACCTACTACGAGAGACTGGGAAGCTAGGAACCAAACCAGCAAACGCTCCTATTGATCCAAATCATAAAATTAATGGTGTTGATAGTGAATTAGTAAAGGATGTGGGGAGATATCAAAGAATGGTGGGTCGACTGCTGTATTTGTGTATGACACAACTAGATATTTCTTATGCTATCAGTGTTGTGAGTCAGTACATGCATGCACCTCGGGTTCAGCACTGGGAAGCTATTGAGAGAATACATGCATATCTGAAAAAGCACTCTGGCAGAGGAATTCTTTTCTCAAATCATGAGAATCTGAAGCTAGAATCCTATACAGATGTAGACTGGGCAAGATGCTTAGATGACAGGAGGTTTACATCAGGAGTGTGTACCTATGAAGGTGGAAACTTGATCTCCTGGAAGAGTAAGAAGCAAGCGGTTGTGGCAAGGTCAAGTGCAGAGGCTAAGTATAGATCCATGGCTCATGGTGTCTCAGAACTTCTTTGGGCTAGATCTCTTTTGAGAGAGATTGGGGTGAAAACAGAGGAACCTATGATGTTATACTGTGACAATCAGGCTGCAATCAATATTGCCCACAATCCAATTCAGCAYGATAGGACAAAACACATTGAAGTTGATAGACACTTTATAAGAGAAAAAGTAAAAACCGGAGAAGTTTGTTTGCCTTATGTCTCTTCAGAGTTGCAACTGGTTGATGTTCTCACTAAAGGGGTGGCAAGGAACAAGCTTGAACATGATCTACGCAAGTTGGGAAAGTGTGACATTTACTCCCAACTTGAGGAAGAGTGTTGAAGATTAATTAGTTTTATGTTGTTTTTCTGAGTAGATGTTTTATGTTAGTTGTTAGATAGGAGGTGGGGACCACAGTAGTTATGTGGATCCAATTTCTTATTATGTTTCTGAGTGTTATATATGTTGTTTTATGTTTTGTCGCCCTATAAGGGCAAAGTTGTCTTTGTACTGTACTGTTATTTTAGTATAAATAATAAGTGAAGGGGGCGGCCAGATTATTGCTCTCTTTTCTTTTCAACTTCTCTTCTCTTCTTCTCCTTCTCTTCCTTCTCTCTTCAAGAAACTACTTTCTTTCATATTTTTTAATTCAGCAAATTCCTACTATATATTATAATTTTTTATATGTATATTTTTATAAATATATATAATTCTTAACTCTTTACATGTATAATTGTCATTTTTTAATGAAGCTTGGCTCACTATGGAGCTCAAGTCGAGGTTGAAAATATGAGCTTCTGAGTCAAGCCAAATTCAAGCTCATGTCCCAAGCCCAATCACAAGCTTAATATTTATTTTGTTGAGCCTAGCTTGAATAACCAAATATTCAGCTCAGAATGGCTAAAATCTACAAATTAAACCTCTACAAGAATTTCCAATAATACAAAAATAAAAGGGAAATTGCACCTTTTGTTGTCGTTGTTCACATAGCCATTCAGGCACAACATTCATCAATGACAATATTTCTTCAGCCACATCAGAGATAATAAACATTGGGACCTAAACAATACATCAACACTATGATGTAAAAATTAGAAGCACAACTCAATAATCACCAAAATATGAGCCCAAAATGTAATCATGGCAACAAAAGAGAATAGTAATTGTTGAGAAGATGGGCCATCCCCTTATATTGTTTAGTTCATTTTTATTTTTAATTGTCGGGCCTTAATAATAATGGGCCTACATTATATTCTTTATGATTAATTGTTTAGCCACCCCTTGAGGGCTATTTTTGTAATTTCCCCTAATCATATTTAAATTAATAAAATCAAGATTAGAAGATGAGAAGACAGCTTCAATCCTTTCTCCCAAAAAACTTTCTTCTAGTTTCTGATTAAACCTTAATTATTCCACTTATTTCCTGCTCCTTTACTTTTCTTCTTGGTATCAATAGGCTGTGCAAGAAAATTTGGCTTCGTGGAAGAGAAATTATGTGTCTCTTGGGGGTCGTATTACTTTGATTAAGTCTACCTTAGCTAATTTCCCAATTTACTTTCATTGTGTGTTTAGAATACCACAACGGGAGGTGGTGAAAGTAGAGAAACTTGTGAGGGACATTTTGTGGGAACCGGGAGATGGAAGGAAAGATCATTTGGTTAGGTGGAAAATAGACTTGTTCACGGGCCGGGTCAAGCCAGGCTTGGGATAGGCTTTCACTTGTTCTTAACAACATTTGATTAAGCTCGAGCCCGAGCCTAGCCCAATCATTGGGCCTTCCCTCATAAAAGCTCAAAGCCTAACCTGGAATCTCAACAATTACCTTGCAAGTTCCAATCCCTCTATTGTTTCAAGAAAAGATCAAATCAGCAGAACAAAAAGTAGAAATTTCTTGAGCAGCTTAGACTAATTTTGTTATCCAAAGAAAAATTTTCAAAATGTAGAAAAATAAGTGCCCTAGTGGTGGTGTAGGTGACTGAAATGGGGCAATGGTGACTATTATGTGTGAAGTGGGGTGGTGGTGATTGTTAAGTGTGAAGTGTGATGAGAAAAGGGGAGAGAGAGAGAGAGAGAGAAAGGATCTGGTGGAAGGTGGTGTGGAGGTACTTGAAGAATGAAGACTTCAAGTTCAAAACATCAAATAGAGTTTTGGGTTAAAGAGAAAAGGCCAAATGAGGGAAAGTCAGGTTAGAGTTTTGAGTTAAATTAATAATAAAAATATTTAAGATATATAAAATATTATATATATATATATTATTAGATAAAAAAAGTCGAGCCATGCTTTTTGGACAAATCTTGAGCCTAGCTCAAAAAAAAAGTAGGCTTGGTGTTTTGGGCCCGAGTTCAAGTCCATGGGCCTAACAGCATGTCCAAACCCGACTAGGAGTGGGCCGGGCTGGGGTGGCCCGTCGAGCTACCTAGCCCATGAACAGGTCTAGTGGGAAATAGTGTGCAAGAGGAAGGAATAGAGGGTTTGAGATTAGGTAATTTAGGAAAGAAAAACTTAGTCTTGCTAAGTAAGTGAGTTTGGAAATGCCCTTTGGAAAGGGAAAAACTTTAGCAAAGTTGTAGGAAGTATTCACGGAGATGTAAGCAATGGCCTTTCGACAGCTGTTAAGCTTCATTAGGTATGATGTGTGAAATAGAGATAGGGTTATGTTTTGGGAGGATATTTGGATTAGTAACTCTGCCCTCAAGGGCATTAAAAAAAAACTCCACCCTCAAGGAGCTCTTTTTGTTCCTCTATCTACCCAAAATGGATACTATTCCACTCTTTAATTTTGGATCCAAGTCTTTTTCAGTTTTTTATGAAATTTAACTCATTTTCACTTAATCCCTGTTAATTCTTCATTCCACCACTTATCAACCTTATAAACAAAATCTGGGTGTGTCAACCACATGTTCTCAAATCTAAAGGATCTAGGTCCACTAGTTAGGGATTTCGGGCCTAACTTAATTGAGCAATGATTAGAGGTTACTCTAGTCAATGATTTAAAAGGTGTGCCTAGGCGCATAGGCGAGGCACATTTCAGGGTATGCGCCTCGCCTAGGTCCTAGGTGCAGCCCTTTCAAAAGGCGTACGCTTGGTGCGCCTAGGCGTGCACTTGATGCGCCTTGTGCCTCAGCCCAAACATGTGCCTTTAGAAAATTTGGCACTTTTTGTTTTTTTTTGGAATATAACGGCTGGGCTGGGGGCTTTGGCCCCGGACCCCCGTGCCATGCCCCTCGAGGCAAGCCCAAACAAGTCCACGTTAGGTCTTAAATGTCTTCTTAAAAACAATTAAAACTATAAAATCATTATTTTTTGTGTGAAAACTATGAATTTAAGACCTAATGTGGACTTGTTTGGGCTTGCCTCGAGGGGCATGGCACAAAGGCGGCTCGTAGAATCAAGAATGTAATATGTTTTACAGTACATTAGCTATATGAAGTACTGCAATTGAGTGAAAAAAGAGATTAGAGGTTTTATATGTTTGATTTTATTTTTAAATTCTCATTTGAATATGCTTTACATCTTATGTTTATGTATTTTAATTTTAGATAATAGGATTTTTAAAACATTATTTTAAAATTTAACTTTTATAATTAGTGATATTATGTTTAATATTTTTTTTGAATTTTCTGTCATTTTTTTTATTTTTTAGCTTTTTTTTTGTATTTTTGTGCCTTGCTTCAAAATGGCGCGCGCCTCACCTTGTGCCTCAAAAGCAAATTGACCCCTGCCCCTTTTTTTGCACCTTGCGCTTTAAAAACATTGACTCTAGGCAAGGCTCTAGCAACAAAATCCCTCTAATGAGTCTCCTACCCTTCATTGAAAAGGAACCTATCCAACTTCAAATAGATTAGGTGTTCCTAAAAGTTAGACCAAGTGAAATTGGCCTTTCCCCACACTTCATACCCATCTCCTTTCTAACTATGCTAGCTTGGTTTCCTACAACATCACAATCTGGTGGCCTTTCTCTTGATCTCTTCTAAGTAATTTCTTTATAAGCCCTCTCTTCCTAGCACTTCCTAGACCCCTCACATTCCAATTGCTGATTTTCATTATTTTTTTTGAAGATAAAAGAAAAGAATTTATTGAAACAAAAAAGAAGATGCAAGGAAAGTGATAAGCAATCACCTGAAAATAAAGACAAATGCAAACAGAACCCCAATGAGACAAAAAATAAAAACAAACTCAAATCAACCAAATCCAGAATCAAACAAAATTAAGCCCCAACTAATGAAAGCCCCTTACCCATAACAATACAATACAAGACAAAAAAAGATGAGAAACCAGAACATTAAACCAGCTCGATGCCTAACAAATACTGAAGCAAGACACCCAAACCCAAAAATGCGGCTTCAAATAGACCACCTTTTATCGTATTTTTGACTATTCCTATGGCTTTTTTGACGAGCTTGTTAGTCCCACTCCAAATAGACCACCTTTTAACCCTGTGAAAACCTTAGAGACCGGAACCTCATTTTTTTTATTAATCAGCAATAACTTTCCCCTTCCCCATACCCCCCTTTTTATCCCAAAGTGCTGGTTGCGGGATTTGATTCCGCGACAATGCTGGGACAACCCAGCTAACACACCTTAGAGACCGGATTCTTCTATTGTATTCTTTTATTATTTTGAGTTTTGAATCTTCTAGATGTGTTTAGATTTCCTACCGCTTCTTCAAGATTCCCCGCTGGTTTCTAACCCCTATCTTCAACCACAATCCCCTTAACCTCTTATTCTGGCTTGTCTATGACATCCCTGCAACCTCCAGCAATCACTTCCACCACTTGCCTTGTTGAGCTATCACAAGTAGGATTAACCACTAGATCTATTATAAAGTCATTCTTCCCAATTGTTTCCTCCATAGATCTAAATCCTTCTTTTGTGAATTCCTCCCCTCCTAGAAAAAATAGACCCAAAATTTCACCAACTTCCACTCTCCTATTCACCACTTCCTCGATGTTAGGAGTCTTTTCTACCATATGGGTCTCATCAATCATCAGTTCAGACTCATTTTCCTCCCTCAATTCGGATTTCATCCCCTCCTCTCCTATCTCCTCTAATGGGAAAGTTCTATAGTTTTTTCCTTTTATATGTTCTAACCTCCCCCCTCCCTCATTCTTACTTTCTTCACCTTCACTTCCCTCTACCTGAATCCCCAAATCCTTCTTCCCTCCTTCCTCCTCTTCTATACATCTGTCCCCTTCTCCTTTTTCCCCCACATTTCTTCCATAACTCTTTTTTCCTTTAACCCTTCAGTCCCAATCCCCTAATCTCCCTTTCTGTTCTTCCCTTCTTTAGTAATTTTGCTTTCATTACTTCCGGACAAGGTTAGAAGAGTCTCTCGCCCATTCTTTTCTTCCACTACACTTCTTTCTCTTCCCTAGCCACTCCCTCTATAACTTCAAGACCTTCCTTACCATCCTTGGCAACCAAAAAGTCTTCCCCGTCCTCCTCTTTTTCCTGTTGAAAAAGACTAAACTTAGATTCCACATGTGCATCTTCCGCCCGCCTTTTTTCCTCCCAATCAATGTTCTCTAAGGTCGTTAAAATACTCCCTTGACAGAAAATCTTGTCATTCTCCACGCAAAACCTTCGGCAATACCAATTTTTTTATCAATAACACATTTCATTAGTTAATCATAGAAATAATTACAAAGGGGAAGATAAACTTTCTTATCTTCCAACTGAGGCTTGAGCCCCCAAGAAAGGAAAAAAAGAGTTACAACTGAGCCCAAAGCATAGACTCCCTCTCCACCCCTTGTTTAGCTAACCCATCAGCAAAAGAGTTAGCTGAACTTTTCACCCAACTGATCTTGACTTCCATCTCTTGAACCAGCCACCTAAAATTTCTCTCTCATTGCTGTAATTCCATAACCCACTGTTGTCTATATTCAGCCACCCTACCACCACCTCCAAGTCGCCTTCAGTAATAAGTTTTCTTATATCCATCTCCCTAGCTCTCTGGACTCCTTCCATAACTGCATAGATCTCGGCTCTGAGAAAGTCACCCACTCCAATTAGCGTGAGAACAGGGCTGCAACAATCCCATTCTCATCCTAAACACACC